AGATAATGTGTTCATACGACTTTATATATTATTGTTGTTTTTCGAAAGAGAAAAAAAAGAGGACTGTTAAACGTTCTAACGAGAGTCAGAGTGTTATATATGAAAACTTTAACACAATCCCACGCGTTCGTTTTTACACAAAAAGTGAAGCGACAAAAGTTTGCCCAATGGGAAAACATGTACAGGCCCAAAGTGTAACTAGAGACATAAGTTTCACTTCCTGTATTCCCAGTTGTACTTCCGTGAGCCTCTGGAGGGTTCAACACACACACGCCAGTATAATTGTATATATAAAACGAACAAATATATAAGCCGTTATCTCGTGTTCTTTCACCGTACGCGAAAATTACTATCTCTCTTCTTCTCTTTCTCACTTTTATTATCACTCTCATCCATCTATTCTTATAGGTGCTTCTATATCTTCTATTTTTTTCTCTCCCATCCGCGTGAGAATTATAATAATGTCTTATTATTATTCTCGAGCCTCCTTGCATTTCTCTCTTTATATTGCATTCATCGCCATACATACAAAGACTTCTACTCTCTTTTTCTCTATATCTATATATTTATCCTTATTCAAACGGAAGTGAAGGAGCCTCTTAATCTACGGATTTGCGTCAATGAGTTTTCGTCTTAGCTTTTTTATTGTATATTTACATTGTAAATACTGTTTTAAAATAAAAATTCTTTATAAAATACGAATGCAATTAAAAAATTTGGATTTAACTGACAGTTTATAATAAACCCACAAAGTTCTCTTTATATTAGAAAAATACCTTTGCAAAGTAAATTCCAGGGAACAATCAAGACATATAATATATCGAGTATCAGATTTAAAGGCACACCGCTAGATCGATCTTTTCATCTATAGAAGACTATATAATATATGTAACCAGAGATTGGCTCTATAACGAATTGAATATGTCAGCTTTACAAAGTCTAATCCGCAAAAATGTTATATGCTTTAAAGTATTCCGCACTTGTCTGTCTTGTGGTGTTTAGAGATGTGTCTTATGGAAAATAAACGAGGCGCCGCTTCTCACTGATGTTCAACAATTTTTTAAGGTGAAAAAGAAACCACAATTCTTTATATATATATGAGGCAACACAGGTGCGCGGGTGTCTACTCTCGAAACTTTCAAAGGTATACACACATACAGACACAAACTAAGTGAGAGCTGTGTATCAATGGAGAGCAAGCGCCCATTGACATTTCTTCAGAGGAGAATTTCACGGTATGTATACGACCCCACATTTGCGGCGCCTGGGATCCCCCGTTATACACTCCACAGGTAGAGTATAGATATATATATTGAGAGACCCACAGGTATTGTCCTGGACCACACACCATTCAAAAAGAATAAAAAGAAACCAATTATATTATACATATACAGACAACCATATGTCGAGTGCAAACCAAAGTGTTTTCCTGATTCAGAATTTTCTTGAAAAATTTAGTTTCAATTCATTGGATAGAATTTTCAGAAGTGACAAATCCTGGCAGAATTTTCATTCAACAGAATATGAGCAATTCAAACAGAATGACAGAATTTGTCGCAAGTACTTTATAATTTTAAGAATATGGTTCTGTACAATCAACGTTCTGCCGTACTAATATTTTACCTATATATATTGAAAATTCTATCAAAATTTCTGTTGCAGATTTCTGTTATACACTGAAAAAAAAATTCTGGTTAGGCTATATTTAACATTACTTTCTAGTTATGTTAACCAGAATTCTAGTTGAATTAACTAGAATTCTCGTTAAAATAACCAGAATTCTGGTTAACCTAACCAGAATCAAAATGTTAAATATACCCTAACCAGAATTCTGGTTATTCTAACTAGAATTTTTTTTCAGTGTAGATGAAAATTTTGTTTAATCGAAGTTTTGTCCAGCGAAAAGTTTGGTACTTTCACCAAATTCTGTTCTCATATATTCTATTGAATGAAAAATTCTGCCAGGTAAGATTTGACACTTCTGAAAATTCTATCCAAAGAAAAATCCAGATCTGTCGGACGGAAATTTAGTACTCATAGAAATTAATATCTTCTGTTTTACTGTGTATATGATTTGTCATTATCATGAATCCTCAATAAGAGAATTCTGATCTATCGAAGCATTAAATAAATAGAATTCTAATTCTACGATTCGCTGAAATCCTAAAAAAAAAATAGAATTCTGAATCGAGAGAATCCTCAACATAGAGGAATAGGGAGCTTATATATATATATATATATATATATATATATATATATATATATATATATATATATATATATATATATATATATGAGAGCTACCTTAACGTCGTTAACGATCTACCTCAATCGTTGTTGCGTCCAAAGGAGCAAAGGCCAAGAGGAATGCAGACACGTAATGCACGCAGAATGTTGTCCGACCGCGAGAGGAATTATTAGAGGAATTGTGGGTCCCGAGAGACCCCCTGGCGGGCCCACCATCAATGCTCTCGCAGGTTCCGACAGGTCCAACCAGGTCCTAACAGGTAAGAAATTAAGTACCAAAAGAAGATCGAAATAGAAAAAAAAAATAAAGAGATGCCTGCCAAAAAACTAGCTTCAAAGTTTTCTCTGAACTTTCCGAAATTGTCTCTCCACCTCCCCCCCCTCCATTTTTTATGTCTTCGATTTCAAAATTTATAGTATTCTCTTCATCGGAAATACAAAATGTTTCCTTCCTAGTTGCCTCTCTGTCTCTTTCATTATTTTTTTTATCATATAGGAGATTAGAACAGAAATTTAAATCTTAAAACTGCAATAACTGTCTCTCAGACCGGATTATTTTTCCCTAGTTTTCTCATCTGCATATACAATTTCACACAAATGTTTGAAATACCGAAAACGTAGCTCTCTCTCTCTCTCTCTAACAACACCTAATTAGTCTCATTTTGTCACTTTCGAACAACAGAAGCCATTTGCTTCAAGTTTACAACTTTGAACGTTATCTCTAACAATAAGTCTAGATTATAATCTCTCTGTCTGTTACATTTAGAATATGTCTCAGAAGATGTTTCAAATCCTCAAAGATAAGGATTTGAGAAACAGTCAATGGAAATTTAATTAATTCATGTTGGAAAAATTAAAGAAATAGACTTGAAGTCTATGCCCTCACTGTCTGACTATTAATAACTTTACCTACTAAGATCACAGAAAATTAAAAGGCCTTAAAATAAGCTGCAACGCTTATTATTTTAATCCAATTTTGCTTATTTTAATAACAAAATGGATTAAAATAAGTAAAATTGGATTAAAATAATAAGCGTTGCAGCTTATTTTAATGCCTTTTAATTTTCTGTGGTGGCATTAGTTACTGTGGCATTAGTTACTGTGGCATTAGTTACTGCGGCATTAGTTACTGCGGCATTAGTTACTGTGGCATTAGTTACTGTGGCATTAGTTACTGTGGCATTAGTTACTGTGGCATTAGTTACTGTGGCATTAGTTACTGTGGCATTAGTTGCTGTGGCATTAGTTGCTGTGGCATTAATTGCTGTGGCATTAATTGCTGTGGCATTAGTTACTGTGGCATTAGTTCTTGTGGCATTAGTTACTGTGGCATTAGTTACTGTGGCATTAGTTACTGTGGCATTAGTTACTGTGGCATTAGTTACTGTGGCATTAGTTACTGTGGCATTAGTTACTGTGGCATTAGTTACTGTGGCATTAGTTACTGTGGCATTAGTTACTGTGGCATTAGTTACTGTGGAATTAGTTACTGTGGCAACAGTTACTATGGTAACAGTTAGTTACTATGGCATTAGTTATTATAGGAAAAAAGTCATTTTCTCTACTTTATTTGGAAACTGCTAACAGAAATCATTGTCCATTTAATATAAATTCCTTTTTTTTTGATAAAACAAAAATTGAGACATTCATAGTAAAAAAACATTTTTAGAAAATAAAATATTCGCCAAGTGAGAGGAGAATAAATTTTTTAATGTAAAATTTAAATAGCCGTGTATATAATGAGATCCAACGTCAAAATCATATGGTATGACAGTTTTATACCGACATATATCGTTTTGAGAGGTGGTAGGTACAAGAGGTGGATGCGAAAGGATTAAGTGGAAGTCTTTTACCTCCTCGCCCACAACGTTTTTCGCTGCGTCACTCAATATTGGCATTCCAACATTGAAGAGTATATATATACGTGCAGTAAATATATATATACAGGGTAATCATTAAGTTCCGCACTAGTAAAAAAAATTTTTATAGAAAAATCTAGAACTTAATTATTACCCTGTATAATAAATAATAATAATAATAATAATAATAATAAATATAATTGATACATCTATTTTATCAGCAATAAATTAATTTTGATATCGAAAAAGAATTCCACGATTTTTATGGTCGGATTACGGGGGTAACTTTTAATAACTAAAAATAACGAATGGAAAATACGCTCGTTTTCAAACTTCCGGTCCAATAATCCGACGTCACTTTGGTATACGAATCAATTTACGATAATAATCATTCTGAGAAAATTATTCATTATCACTCTCTCTCTCTGTCTCTTCTTCCAAAAGCTCATTTTCCTCTTCAATTATTAATTTCATCCGAAATATTGAACTTTTCTTTTCTATGATCAATTTCAATTTTCAAGCAAGAATCGTTTAAAAAAAAATAATTAATTTTGCAAAAAAAGAAATATTTTTTCCTTCTGAATGAATAAAATTATCACTAGTGCGCCAGTCTACGAAATATTTACTACTTTTCAAAGCACCCTCACCGCGATTTGATTTGGCAATATTTTTGTTAGTCTAAAGTTTCAGATAATCAACTTTTTTTGAAGTAAAACAATTATTTATATAAAATAAATTTTTGAAACGTATATTTGTTTATATAGACGAAAATATAAATAGATGATCGTTTGGTATATAGACACAATGTAATTTAGGCTTGGCAATTTTTAGCTGATTCAGAGAGAGAGAGAGAGAGAGAAAGAGAGTTGTTTTTTTGTTTGTTTTTCGACTGACCTTTTCCTCGAGTGCGGGCCCATTCTCCATTGCGTGCATAATGGCATCCGAAATGCGGGTGTCCAGCTGTCTGACCGCCTTTTCGGCGTTCAAGCCGAGAGGATCGCTAACACCGTCGACAGCAATAACCAGTCTTTCAACCGTTTCCACGTAACCGGACCACGCTAAATCGAGCTCCGATGCTGGTTCCGTCAGACAACCCCTGTCAAAGAATAATGTTCTTCAATTATATTCACAATTCTATACAAAAATATTCCATTTCAAAATCAAATTTCAGGGCAAAATTTCGTTTAAATCAAATGAAAATTCAAACAATTAGAATTAATAATCAAATGGAATTTCGGATAAATAATTCGACTAAATTTTAATTTTGTTAAATAAAACATTAATAGGAAATAAACACATTTCCACACTGAGAAAAATATGCTATTGAATCAACAGCATTTTTGCTAAAGGCATAAAAATCATTCTAAAGTATATGCTATAGAATTTGTAAAATATTATATAGATTTTATAGCATATGATTTTGAATCAATAATTTTTATGCCTTTGGTAGAAATGCTGTTGATTCAATAGCATATATTTTTCTCAGTGCATATATAAAAATAATATGCAGAAAAAATATGTACTCACCTAACAACATTTGTACAAAATCCTTTACACGGTCTAACAGACGATGAAATCCCTTTACACTTTGGACAATGTGTCATTCTTAATAATGCTCTATAGCAATTCGATTGATGATGACTAGTTCCTGAAAATAGTACACTATCGGTTTTATCCAATACTGTTTTACCAAGTGTCAATGCCTGTACAAGAACACGAGTTGCTTCTAAACTTTTTGCAACTGAACGTGAAATTTGCTTTGGTATATCGCCAAATGGTTGTATTTCATCCATTGTTTTATAAAGGCAATCCTTAAATTTTGATGTAAAATCCTGTTGACTTGGATTTACTGTACGATGATAGGCAATTGGAAAGAGTTGCATAAAAAATTCAGTAAAACGTTCTTGAAGCATATCACGTGACAATGGTTGTTGCAATGTATCAGGTGTATTTTTTGGCGAGACATAATCAACCATTGCTTGATAGAGTCCTATTATCGATGGTCTACTCAATACAGCTATTGATCGATAAACCTGATCAAAGAGAATCAATGTTTTATTCTCTGATTGACGAGCCAGCGCCATTACTGTTTCTGAAACAATACAAACATTTTATTCAGTTAAATAAATGTATTTATCATTTTTTTATTTCTTATATTTAATACAGAAAACAAGAAATATTAAATTTATTTATCCGGTTTAGTATTAAAAGAGTCTAAGAAAAACAATTTTGTATAATTCGTAAACTAAAGAATCATTAAAATCAAGTAGTATCATTAAAAATAGTTAGAGCATTAAAAAATATATCTGAAAATGGTAGGAAACATTTCAAGATGTTTGAATGGTGGCATTAAATGATTTTACAGCACTAATGATAGGCTTCAAAGATTGCAGCATGAGATGATATTAACGGATGATAAAATCATTATCAAATGGTACGTAGCAAAAGATGCAGAATATCTAAAAAAGAAATACTAAATTAATTTGGTATCACTAAATGATTCTATTATTGAAAAATGATAGCATATTAAAAGATGATAGTATTAAAGGATGGTGTAATTAGATGATAGGATTAGAAGACGCGGCATTATTAGAAAATACTATCATCAAAAGCAATAGTGAATCATTAAGTACTACTTTAGTACTATCAGAAGCTACTAATCAATTTGATTAGTAGTATTATGGTATACTATTAAAACCTGATGATATTAAATTTAACAACACTAAATGATAGTAGCATATTAAAAATAGTAGCATTAAAAGATGTTCATACTAAATGATTTTAAAATTATTAAACCCACATTAAATGGTAGAACCGTATTAAAAATTAATGTTCCTAATCTTTTTGAAATTAACGAATATCAACAAAAGATTCAAACATTAATTTGATTTTTAAACTTTGGAGATTTAATTATTTTTCAGAATGAATTTTGTTTTGCCTCTCACGGAGGCAGTGATTCGCCTTTTCGAGTTGTGCACTCGGGCAGATTATCGACATAACCACCCACTCGAGTGAGAGAGTTGCTCGAAAATACAATAAAGGAGGAAAGTCAACCGCATTCTTGAGTCTGCGATTCTGAATAGGCCATTGTCAAACGGGGGGGGAGCATTTCGTACTGCTGGTTTGGCGCATAATATAAAATAAGCACACGCACGTTGTTCATGTGCTTCAATCTTAAGATTCTGAGATCGCGATTCCTCTCTCTCTCTCTCTCTTTCTTTTAGAGACCCTTATATACTTCTGGAGCCTCTTCCATGATCTTGAATCTTGCTGTGTGGACAAGTCCGAGTTTCGAGTGCGAGAAAGAGAACTGACTTCCACCAAATGTGGGGGGGAAAGTGGACAAGAAAAAGAAAGGTCGAGAGCAAGATTCTTACGTGGGATTTTTATTGCTTCATTTGTCGCTACCTATCACATAAAACTAAACCAGAAGATTACACTTGTGTGTGCAGGGAAGATCCCGCATTCCTTTTTGGCTTCAACTTCTTAAAAATCCTTCAAGGACCATCAGATTTCTCTCCCAATAAAATTTCAACTCGATTTTTATATTTTAAATCCATTTGTTGGACAATCATAAATATTTTTGGTACAAATATTTTGAAATTAATATTTTTGATCGCATTAGTGATTGTTTAAAAGCGTCATAACCAAAGAACGCGAAAACCTGCGGCATCAGCTTCTCTGTTGCGGTCCCTGCGTCTCAGCGTGGTACAGTTCCCACGTACCTTTTACACCCCCCTTTTGGCCCTGTTTGACCAACACCAAACTAGAATTGGTATACATATACATATATATATATATAAAGAGAGACGGATTCACGAATGTGCAGCAGCATCTCTCTTTCTTTATCGCTCGTGCGATTCTCTCCCACACACGGTGGCGCTAAAATAAAATGACCAACGTGGAATGCCGAAGCTCCATGGCCCCGCCTGCTTGGGCTATGAAAGAAGAAGAACAAGAAGAAGATGGGTCCAACAAGAGAGCGAGAAAAAGAGAAAGGGAACCCGACGAGGACAACCTGTGAAAGAATACCGACACGATGAGAGAGAATAAGGAGAGATACACAGAATATAAAAGGGGGCGAGAAACGATGCTGTAACCAGAGAAAGAGATTGGTATTTGGCCTTAAGAGAAATAAGGGACTAGGGGCTAATTAAAAGGAACCTCTCTCTCACTCTCCAGATCCAAAAAATTTATTTTGCTTCACATTTTCATTATTTGAAAATCATTTATTTACCGAAAAATTTGCTTTTTGGAACAATATGGATTTTTTTAGTAATAAAATTTTCATCATAGAGAAAGAGAGAGGCAATAAAAAAAAAAACGATAAGATAGAAATCAAAGTATAAAGTGGCAAAAAGAGATAAATTTTAAGGCGGTCGAATCGATCGCGAAAGGCATAATTCTTCTCTCTGCTGCGCTCATTCTCTATTTTTCATTCTCTTCCCTTCTCTTTGATTCTTTCACACTTGGTTATTCTCTGGCTTCGATACGCTATAGCAACACCTTCTCTTCTCGATAACGAGTCTCGGTTTTTAGGGACCTCTTTAAAGGCCCCGCGGGAAATGTGTGCAGATAACATCGCACAGCGAGAGATCATCTTGTATGTGTATATATATATATATATATATATGCAGGCGAAATTGGAAAAACGTGGGAATATATATATAAATGACCAACAAAAATTTTGAACGCATGCGAGAAAAGGATGAATGGACCGTCGGACTGCTATTTAATTGGCCATGAATAATTGCGCCACTCTCTCGTTTCGTTCCAATTCGATTCATTTTATTAACAATATACCTTTTCATGATGTGAAACATCAACTTGAATATTATAAAATTCCCAATAAATATGATACTATTGTGTCAAACAATTCAATCAGAATAAAAAAAAAAAATTAATTTTACTAATGGAATACATTACAATTTTATTATATTTTTAAAAAATAATATGCTATTATTTTTAATGATATAGCATTAGGAAAGGTATAATGAAATTAGCACTAAAAAAGATGGAATTCAAAAATAAAAAGATGGTAGTATCATTAAAAGATAGTATTAAGAATAATATAACAGTAAAATGACAACAGAATTAAAGTGTCCTCTACTATTATAAAAGATTTTCATATACGTATAATTATCAAAGTCTAAAAGTCTTTACTATAATTTTCAAAGTTAAATGTGTCTCAGCGGCATATTAAAAATGTCCTGGAATCCTACCAAATCTCCTACAAAGTCTCATTTACCACAATTCTCCCGAGCTAACGCAAAAGCTCTTGAAATCTTTAATACTCCCTGCTTTAAACCATAAATCTCCTTAAATCACAGTTCCATTAACTTCTATTATTTCTGTCCTGTTTTAAGATTCTACATTTTCTCCATTCTTTATTTGATAGAACATAATTTTCAATCAGAATTGAAACTCTGCGGAGAAAGTCTGGAAATCAATTTTATACTATATAGTATATATGTATCAATTTTGATTCTTGTTCGCGAGTTACAAGTGGTTGGCAGAAAGCATTGCTTACATCCAATCAACGATAAGATACCAACTGGCGAAATTGCAGCTTCCCTTCGAAACTATACTATTAGTCTCAAGTACTTTTTGTGTGAGTGGCACTTGAATTAAAAAAAAAAAAAAAAAAAAAAAAATGAAAGTCACTCAAGATAAGATATAGAGATATATTACGTGTGTGACAAAGATGGAATAACTTGAGACCGAATCAACTTTGACGAAAGGTATATAATGATGAAATCAAAATTACGAAATTGAATAATACGAATTGAAACAACTATATTGGTATAATAATAAAAAAAAATTTAAATAAGGAATTTTTTTAAACGACATGTCCTCTTAATTAGCCTTTCGATTATAGGACTCGTGTTAAGACCAATAAAGCAAGAAGTTAATCCCAAGAAGGGAAAGCTTACTCGTGAGAAATATTCAAGTATATAATGTAATATGTATTTTATATATATATATATGTATACACATGCTGGCTGCGTGCGAAAATTATGGCTTCCGATCCTGAATCGCTTGTCGCGAGGGTTTCGCGTGGGATTAAGAGATTCCCGACTATCGTCGGAAGGTGACATGAACCAACTGTACAAGAATATGCTTTAAAGAATATTTCACTCAAGAATGATACTCTTTTTTTTTATATTAAAATACTTACAAAATTCTCACTAAAGTTTCTGTTATATATTTTTTTTTAATTACAAAAAAAGTTTCTGAGATTAAATACTAGAGATCGAGAGAAATATTAAAAAAAAAAAAAACAAGAAGCAAAATTTTTATTCAAAAAGAAACTCTTGGCAAGCATTGTACTGTTTTCTTTGATATAAACCATATCCCGAGGACTTTGCTTATACCACATTCTTTGGAAATCTGAACATTTCTCAAGTTTTGAAGATCAGAAGTTGCTTTCAAAGTTTTTTGAAGTAAAATTTAGAGCACATGTGCTAAATTATGCACTACAGTTTCTAATAAAATTCCTAAAGTGTTAAAACTATAGCAAAAGTAGAAAGAGAAGTAAAAGCAGAAGTAAAAACAGAAGAAAAAGCAGAAGTTAAAACAAAAGTAAAAGCAGAATCAGAAGTAGTAGGAAAATTAGAAAAAAAGAATCAGAAATAGTAGCAGAAGGAGAATCGGAAGGATTAGTAAAATTAGGAGGAGGAGGGACAGAAGTAACAGCAAAAACAAAAGGAGAAGTAGAAAAAATAGCAGCAGATAGAGAAGTAGAAACGGAAGTTAAAGCATAAGCAGCAACATAAGAAAAAGAAGAAACAAAATTAAAAGCATCAGAAGCAGTAGTAAAAGAAGAATGAAAAGCAGGAGGATTAGAAGCATTAGTAAAATTAAGAGGAACAGAATTAACAGCAGAAATAGAAGAATATTAAAATAGAAGCATAATTAAAAGCAGAAGACTCAAAATAAAAAGCAACAGCAGAAAACAGAAGCTGAAGTACCAATTTCTTTTTTTCCAGAACTAATATAGTACTTTCCATAAAAACCCACTATTAAAATGAGTCACCGCATGTCTCGCGCGTATTATATTATACCTTTTATTGATTCAGAAATGATGGCATG